TGGCCAGCATCTCCCGAATCTCCCTGAAGTGATTAAAATAACATTCCTGAATCACGCTCAGACCTTTATCGTTCATAAGTGGAGCCTAAAACAAGCTTATTAGACAACATAAGCTCTTCATCTAGTTTCCAAGCTGAACTTCATTGTGTTGGGGGGGGGGGGACGACAACGTGATTTAATTAGAGGGTGGGGAATGGTTTTCGGCCCAAGCAGTGGCCATCCCTGCTAAATTCATATTCATGTGCAACCCCGGACCCCCCCGCCATCATGAAAGGCGTGCAATGTGCTGTCAGGGAATACTGAGTGCTAGGCCCTTATTCACACACATGGGGATTCCTGCGTCTGGGATCATAGGTGGTTACGGACCGTTGCGGACAGAAAGCCTGTACAAAGCAATAACAGACTAACAGGAGCCGCAGCTGTCAGCCGCTCTTCGCATGTATCCGCATATGCAGCAGTTACCTGCAGCTAGATACAGATGACGGACCCTGCGTGCAACACATTGCATCCAGAGCTGCTCATCTGTCTCTAGTTGCAGGTAATGGAATGCAAGCAGCAGCCGCGGCTTCCATTGCTTTGTACAGACTCTCCGGCCGCAGCTGTTCGCGTCTGTGATTTCGGCCACAATAATCCATTGCCCGGATGTCACCAGTGTGAATGAGGCCGTGCAGCGTTTTAGCCAACAAGCCTGAAACAGCTGTATGCAGTTTTGAATAAATGGCTCTATAATATTAGGCTAAAATCACGCATATATAGCCATTCTGGATGTACAGTTAGCCATGGAGCATAAAGCAACGATCTGCATGGCTCCACCCACTGCCCTAATCTTATTTTTGGGATAAAGGATGGAATGAGACCTGTGAATACCTTCTGCTTTACGAAAGCTTGACTGTGCTATGCATAGGTTGAGTGGAGGACTTTTTGGTTTCTCACTATAACCTTCTGGGTTATATAATATATATCATGTCTTCTTCCTAAAATCCATCATGCATGGCTGACCACCCTGCTAGCTAAAGCCTCTCACCATAACCTTCTGGGTTATACTTTATTACCTCTCCTTCCTGAAATCCATTATGTATGGCTGACTACCCAGCTAGATAAAGCCTCCATAACTACCAATGCTGCGTCCCTGCAGACAATGCAGCAAAAGAAGAATACTTAGTTCAGAATCATGTGACAAGAGAATGCAACACTACCAAGTATAGATGGGGTAATGGAGTGTGCTTTCAGATGCATTCAGGTTCCGTTTGAGTTCCTTCACATGTGCGTGTGCAGTGGCGTCATTAGGGGGGTACGGCCTGCACCATTGGAGGGGTGACGCCAAAATGACTGACGGTCATTATGGTGTCACCCCCTCTGAAAAGGCGGGCACTCGGTCATGGACCGAGAGCACCACAGTTGCAGGAGAGAGGAGGGGACCCAGCGGCATACCTTATTCCACCGGGTGAACGTCCCCTCCTCTCTCTGCCAGCGTCCATCACCAAGATGGCCACCGGCAAGTGTCACAAAGATGGCAGCGCATGCGCGTTATGTGATCGCGAACGTGCGTGATGACGTCACACGCATGCGCAATGATGTCACCTGGTACCCGCTCCGGGTGACACCAAGCCTCAGGACGCCCCTGCGTGTGACCTCATTCTAGGCTGCTTTTGCATTTCCATTGACTTGTATGCGGAGAGACTCAGTTGTGATGTTATAAAGAGCCCTTTATAAATACGGGTAATGTACAAAATCAGCCACGTGGACTGCTTCAAAGATTACTAAGGTAGTGATTCAAAACAATCAGGATTCTCTTTCCACTTTCTGATTCTGAGCCTCTGAAAGCTGTCATCTGGTGTCACTGTGGGAGAGCTTAATATATGTGTAGCAAGAGTTAAAGCCAATGTTGTCACATTAGAAGTCCCAGCATGCCTTGCCAGATGCTGGTCATTCCACAACTGTATTCTCTGCACTTGTGATTGCATCTATTGTGAAAGCTCTCGCCATCAGAGGAGAAGCCAGCTATTCTTCTTCCTCAAGGACAGAATGCTGAGTGTCTGGATTCAGCTTTCCTCCAACTTGTTCCCTTTAACTGAAACCATCTGCCTGTCAAGTTGGGTAGAGCAAGCCAGCGGTTCTGGGCTGCATTCAGTAAACAGTGCAACTGTAAAATGCTGTCAACAGCAACTTCATTTTCAGAATGATGACCCCGATCCCTGGCTGGAGTCCCCCCGTCTGTTCCCTGATGAAGTTGGCACCCTAAGTGTTAACAGCATTCGCAGCCATGTTGTTCATATTTTGCTGCAGTCCATAAAACACAAGCGTCAGGCTGAGATTGTGCAATGCCTCGGAGTCTTTGGAATGCACCCTCTGTCAGTGCTCTAATAAAGTCTATCTGCACAGCTTAAGGTGACAACCTCTGCTCAGTGTACTGTATCTTTGGAGGAGCAGTGTTGTCACCCTAGGACAGGAACTATATTAGGATTACAGAACACCCCCTCCTTTCCTCATCTCCATAACATGGAGGGGAGGTGTCCTATAGACCAAGGCGATACCTGGGAACATTATGACTGATTACAGTCATCACAAGAAGTTATCAGTGGGGCAACTGCACAAATGTAAAATGCTGGCCGGCCGTGACAGCTTTCCCTCCAGCCTGTCTCCTTCTCCTCTGCCGTGATGGTATGTCCCTTGGCGTCCTCACATCCTATACACTGTGTATAGAACATAATGACTCAGGGACCTTAGACCGCTGCAGCGGAGGGGGAGAGAGGATCCAGGGATCGGTCTAAGAACAATCCGGCTCCGAGGTTTAAAGCTGGACTCCAGCTAAATACACAGATGAGATATATATATATATATACACACATACATACACAGTATATATATATATATATATACTATGTATGTGCTGTTTTACCTGTAAAAGATTTGCATTGCTGTGCTCTACCACACAGCTAGGTGGATGACACCACTTACAGTGGTGTCTTCTCTCCACCCCGAGCCTACTGACTGGACAGTAAAAGAGCAGCAGCAGACGAATGAGCTCATCTTTCTGCTCACTCTGCTCTCTCCTATCAGCATGTTGCTCGCCAACACATATGCATGCAGAACACCTCAATGGCTCTCGGTCCATCTTCAGTCTGAGTGCTGCTGTTCAGGGGATTGGAGTAAGCTGATACCTTGTATTTGAATGTATTAATACATACAACCTGCATTTAATCGTGTCTTCTATATCTGCCTAGAGATCAGCTTTCAATGATTTCTTAGGCCCTGTTTCACACCTAGGCGTATCGAATATGCGCGTTTGTAGCGCGTTTTTACCGCGATTCGCGGTAAAAAAAACGTGCGCCAAACGCGCGTTTCCGAGGGCTACTTGGCTGTATCCCAATGGAAACGCGAGACAAAAACCCCGCAAATAAGCTCATGTACCTTTTCAGGCGGGGGCCGTTTTGTATCGCGTTCGGACGGGTTGAAATACGCCAAGGTGTGAACCAGACTCATTGAATACAATGGGATTTAGATGTTTGAGCGTTTTGTAGAGCGTTCGTCGAGCGTTGAACGCGCTACAAAACGTTCAGGTGTGAACCAGGCCTAATGGATCAGTGTACCTGCAAAGTGACCTCCACCTGATCTAAAATGGTTGTTTATACCAACCCTAAAGCTGCTCACACATTACAATCTCTTCATGGCTGGGTTATGATGCGAGGGAAGTTCTGTCGTGATTGGATATAAATCGAATGGAATGTTTAATTATATCCCCAGAGTTCCTGGTTAAAGGGATCCCATAGAGATGGTACAGACTGAAATATTTGTGTCCAGCTGTGGTCCCACTACAACCAGCACCCTGCCCAAAGTCTAAAGCTGCCCATACACCTTACAATGATCTGTGGTCAGATGGAAAAAGTGCAACAGATTCCTCCATCTACGCTACACTGTGTGGATGGAGTAATCTCCGCCTGGGCCAATCTGTTGCACTTTTTCCATCTGACCACAGAAAATCTGCAGATACATTGTAAGGTGTATGGGCACCCTAATGCTAGCCCATCCAGCCTTTATCTACTCCTAACACTCCCGATTCTCAAGTCAAACCCAACATTGACTTCTGGAATGTTCATGAGGTCTATATGAGGGGATGGCATGGGAAAATGTTGAATGAAGAAAGTGGGGTGAGCCTATGTTCTACAAATACTTACATGTCAGGTTTGGCTAATTAACTCTACCACATATATGTTCTCTTCCGGTGATATAAGGGCCATATGGATGTGGTTAAAGGTCCACCCCTCTGCAAATTAAAAGGACAAAGGGAGACAACCTACACAGCGTCTCTAATTTTCATCCTAGTATAGGTTGTGTGTGTCAGGTCATCTCTCTGGTCCATCTCTATGGTCACTCAATCTCCATATTCTCAAACTTGAGCATAAGCAGAGGAGGTAGTCCCAGTCAGTGGTGGGCCAAGGTCCTTTAACACCCAAGGCGAAAAGGCCAACTTGTACCTCCACCTATGAGCTTCGAACAGCAGCATAGGTTGCTGCTCCTGCCCTTCAAGTGCCCAAGGCAACCTTCTCTTCTGCCAACTGCCTTGACCCTGCCCTGGTCCCAATGTCCTAACTCCGCTGCATTTTAATATGCACGCCCATGTCACATCTGTATTCAAAATGACTCGCACCGCCGACCCGAGGCCGCAGCACTGTGAGGGGGAAGTAGACCTTTACAAAGGATTAAATGGAAGAGGCTGCAGTCCCTTGCAGACGTGCTCTGAAAGCAATCCTTGGTCCCGCTGCGATGGATCAGTTGATAATAACATATAACTCACATTTGGTTAAACCAAATGGACGTTCAGAATTTACCGCCGTTGTGAGGATAAGCACTGACAGTCCACTGATTGATTTTATTGGCTGCCTGGAGACGCTCTTTAATTACGGTCTATCCCGAGCGCTTCACTAACAGTGGTCATAGCCTGCGGACACAAGTCTGCCTAATCCTTGGTGGAAGCGCAGGAAAGGATGAGGAAGGAGTTATATAAACACACGAGGAAGAATACAATGCAGCTGTAGAGACTCGCTGGCCTGACTTCCCACAATGAACCGCCCCGTACTGAGCTGCTGCAAGCCCTCTGCTCCTGTTCCGTTTCTTTTCTGGCTTCCAATAATAGTTCCAGTCTTAAGTTAGGCTCTCCAGTGGAGGACAGGTCCACGAGCCAGCCTGACAATAATGCCCATAGGGTGCTGCCGGAGAAGTTTGGTTCGCGCCAAAGGACTCTGGGAGCCGGCAAAAGGATCGGAGATCAAGCCGGCTCCCTCCTGCAAAGCTGGTGGGGTGCCTCTGGCACTGAAGAGACAAAAAAGAAGTCAGCGTTAAATGCCTTGAAAAGCCACGCAACTGAAAGGGTTAAACAAGTGATTTGGTGACATCCTCTCGTTAGTCGGTTTTTAATCCTCGCCGCGCCTGTTAATCCGCAGTGGTTTCGTTTTTTTTGTCTTTAATATATATATATAGGTGGCGGGAGAGGGGTACAAGTCCAGGGAACGCTCTCATCCCGGCTGTTGGTGAAGAGGGAGGGATCAGAAGTTGCTGAAGATTTCGTGTTTCTTGCTCCAGTCCATCTGGGGGGCCCGTTTGTTGGCTCGCTTAGCCCGCGCCTTCTCCTTGGCCTCCGCCGCCGTGGGGCTGAGACTCAAACCGCTCTCTTCGAAGGGATCCTTTTTGGACTCGTCGAATCCCTGTTGACAAAGGTGGAAAGGAAAATCATTTTGTTTATCATATCTAAGCGTGTTTAGAATTTGCTCGACAGAGCGCGCTGATCATACGCACACAACAGAGAATACATTCTTCTATTCTGGTAATTCCAAGTCTACTTTTCAATGTTCATCCACATTAACGGATGGATATAACATAAAGCAGGGGTAGGCAACCGTGGCACTCCAGCTGTGGTGAAACACAACTGCAAGCTTTGAAACGTGTGCAGCTATATAGTGAAAGACAATCTTTACGGCCCCCATTCATACCGGATCCGCTGCGTTGCATCATCATCCGTTTTTGTAATGGATGGTAACGCAAGGGCAACGAAAAATGAATGGGGACAGTTCACACCGCAGCAAAAAAAATGAGCATGCTCTACTGTCTTTCAGCGCAATGCAGGGCGTCAAAAAGGTGTGCTAACGCATCGCAGGCCGTTACAGTAAAGTATGTCCAGTCAGGACTTGTTACTTCACATAAAGCTTGCCAAGAAAAAACATAAAACGCGATGGAACTCAATGGATCGGAAGGTCCAATTGCAAGTCAATGGACCCTCCGTTGACTTGCAAGTACTTCCGATTTTGGTGGGAATGCACCCTCAGTGAAAGACAGGAGCAAATGCATTCATTTACAAATGATTTCTGGGTCAGTTTTATAAAGCTGAACTCCGGACACAAAAACTTTCCTTTAAATATATTCCACACAGGATGTAAATCCACTTTATGTGCAGCAAATGCTTTGAAAACCCAAATACAAGCATAATCACGGTGCTACACATAGCCTATGCAGAGAGCAGAGCTGTGGGAGGGATCCAGCAGGCCCCACCCATTACAAAAGTGGGGGCAGAGACAAGACCAGTTACCCTGCACAAGGAGAGAGAGCAGCAGTGAGCAGTCTTTATTATAGGAGGGGCCGGATACAAGACCAGTCACTCTGCACAAGGAGAGAGAGAACAGCAGTGAGCGGTCTTTATTACAGGAGGGGGCGGATACAAGACCAGTCTCCCTGCACATGGAGAGAGAGTAGCAGTGAGCGGTCTTTATTACAGGAGGGGGCGGGGACAAGACCAATCACCCAGCACAAGGAGAGAGAGTAGCAGTGAGCAGTCTTTATTACAGGAGGAGGCGGATACAAGACCAGTCTCCCTGCACATGGAGAGAGAGTAGCAGTGACTGGTCTTTATTACCGGAGGGGGCGGAACAAGACCAGTCTCCCTGCACATGGAGAGAGAGTAGCAGTGACTGGTCTTTATTACAGGAGGAAGTGGATACAAGACCAGTCACCCTGCACAAGGAGAGAGAGAACAGCAGTGAGCGGTCTTTATTACAGGAGGGGGCGGATACAAGACCAGTCTCCCTGCACATGGAGAGAGAGTAGCAGTGAGCGGTCTTTATTACAGGAGGGGGCGGGGACAAGACCAATCACCCAGCACAAGGAGAGAGAGTAGCAGTGAGCAGTCTTTATTACAGGAGGAGGCGGATACAAGACCAGTCTCCCTGCACATGGAGAGAGAGTAGCAGTGACTGGTCTTTATTACCGGAGGGGGCGGAACAAGACCAGTCTCCCTGCACATGGAGAGAGAGTAGCAGTGACTGGTCTTTATTACAGGAGGGGGTGGATACAAGACCAGTCACCCTGCACAAGGAGAGAGAGAACAGCAGTGAGCGGTCTTTATTACAGGAGGAGGCGGATACAAGACCAGTCTCCCTGCACATGGAGAGAGAGTAGCAGTGACTGGTCTTTATTACAGGAGGGGGCGGAACAAGACCAGTCTCCCTGCACAAGGAGAGAGAGCAGCAGGGACTGGTCTTTATTACAGGAGGGGGCGGATACAAGACTAGTCACCCTGCACATGGAGAGAGAGTAGCAGTGACTGGTCTTTATTACAGGAGGGGGCGGATACAAGACCAGTCACCCTGCACATGGAGAGAGAGAACAGCAGTGAGCGGTCTTTATTACAGGAAGCTCCAAGTCTCACGCAGGATTACTGCACAGATCTGGAAGAAATACACAAAGCTCTCCAAGATTCAAGTAGCAATACACATGGCTCTTGTATTGATTTGATGCCATATTTGCTTCTCCCGGAGTTCAGCTTCAGTATAGATTTGCTTCTGCTATGTACTTAGCTGTTTGGCTGGAGGAGACCTACCTGTGAATCTTTGTCAGGACTCTGCAGATCACTGTGAGATGAGGAAGTCGATGATCCGCCATTAAGCTGTAGAACACAAAGATACACTGTAACAGGCTGCAGACTTATTTATTCAGGCATAGAACAATGAACAAAAGCGCAGTAACCTACAGCAATAAAAACTCATCACTGACCAGTCTTGTTACCTAGGAGAGGTTGCTATGGGTTACCATCTCCACTCTGCTCTGCCTAGTTTATTAAAGTGTATGTGAACGTCTCCTATTTGCACTGTTAAAAGTACTATTGGAAAAGTTCTGTTACATCTGTTCAGCATGTGCAAAAATACCTGTTGATCCTGCCCCCCCCCCCCCCCCCCCCCCCTGCCACGAAAGAAGG